CTAAGCAACAACAACAAAAAGCATGCAAATTGGCCGTCAATGTAGTCATTTAAAGTGGTCCCTTCGTCCTAAGATTTCCAATAATTGAGGTTGTTAGAGAAGCAACATGCATGAGCTAGCTAGCATATTTTTGTGGTAGCTTACAACTCAGAAGATTGAAGTGATATATCTGATAGTTACAGGGAAAACGAAAGCAGCCATGTTTGGTATAACGACAATGGAAATCCCAAGTGCTAGCTAAAGATCGTTAATCAGGGTTTTAATTGGATATTGATGTTTCATAAAGACGTGCATGGCCATACTTAATTGACAGGAAATTATTAGTACAATGTATATGAACTCCCACTTTGATGATATGTCAATGCGCAATTCCTTTAATAGTGAGTGATTCATTTTTCTTTTAAATGGTGGTTACGGATATTCAACCCAATCTGTTAAAAACCCTAGCCTCCCACCCTTCAACGCCGCACGGGGGAGGTGGCCTCTGCCTCTCCTCCGTTAACCCCCCATCTCGCCCCTATCTTTCTCCTTTCTCTTTCCTCTCAACCCCTCTCTCTTTTTGTATCCCCTTTTTTTTCTTCTCCTCTTTTCTTCCCTTTTTTTTTCCCATGGATCTTGGTTTTGTTTTTTGTTTTTGTTGTTTCTAGCCAGGGACGGACCCAGGATTTCAAAATAGGGTGGGCTAAATTTACCTTGTATACAAACCTATTAAGTCCATCTCTAATGCTAGATAACTCAAACCCAAAATTTTCCCCTCTAACATAGAACAATTCATGTATATCTCATACTCAAATAATTTTTCAAAATTCTTTTTTATGTTAATTTTACAATATTAAACAAAAAATTATTACAATTTTAAAGTTGAGGAATGGGGTGTGGTTTTAATTTAAACATAAATTTAACGGGGAAGTGTGGTTTTTAATGATAATTGTTTCTGTATGTGAAGATCTTTGGTTTGTTTTTATTTATGTGAAGTGTTAAATGTTAATAAAATTGGGAAAGTGTGGGGTAATATGGGGTGGATTAAAAAGGGCAGGTGCCCTCACACGCAACTCCACCTAGTCAATGCACTAAATCTGTCAATTGGGGTCCATTTACATGGGTTGATTGGAACTTGGGGAGGTGTGCTGGGTTTGCTATTTTACACTAGAAAAAAAAAAAAAAATTTGCCTGGGCTATAGCCCAGGTTAGACAAAGGAATGGTCCGTCCCTGTTTCTAGCTGTAGGTTTGGTTGCATGTTTTTTTGGTTTGGATGTTTTTTGCTTGGCTATAATAAGAGTTACCGGTGGTGCTATCTATTCCATCAGAGGCGGCGGCGGCGTCGATGTCAGTAGAGGTAGTAATTGTTACTATGTTGGTTTGTATGTAATGTGGAAGCAAACACCGTGAAACATCATTGTCGCCATGATTTAGTTGCTGCTTTTGGCCCATATATACAGGATTTTGGCTCTAGTTTAGTGTTTGAAGTTACAATAATGAAAGTTACCGGTTTGTGTGGGTTGGGGTTTAGCCGATGTGGCACTAAGGGTTTAGCCGGTATTTGGTTGCCAAAGAGGAAGTGCACTGGTAGACCCATAAATTTTTCAACAGAGGTGCAATTTTTAAAGGTGCAAGACTTTATCGATGACTAAGTTTTTATAAAGACTTGGAATTCTCTCTCAAAAAAAAAAAAAGACTGGTGTGGACAAAAAAAAAAAGATATGAATATGATGTTTTATAAATACTTTTTTTTAAAAATTTAGCTAAGATGTTTTGTAAAGAGTTGGATGATTTCTCTCTTAAAAAATAGAAAAAGACTTGGTTTGGTGGGGACGGAAAAAATCTCTCAAAAGATCATATTTTTTTTATAGCAGCAAGGGAGGTTTAGTTTCTTAACTTTCCTCTCTTCCGTGTACAATAAGGACATCAACTTCATCTTCTCCAATGGGTATGTTCTTTCTTGGGTGGAACTTTATCTGCCCCCATTTTCCACAAAAATAAGAAAAAATGCCAAGCAAAACCCTCTCCTCCAAAACCCCACTCACACTTATCTTTCTCACCCTTCACTCTTCTTCACCAACCCACCATATTTCTCTTTGGCACCAAGCCAAATTTTTTTTCCTCGGCAGCGGGTTGTTTCTTCTACTCCGTGTACAATAAGGACACTATTTTTTTTCCCCTGATCCAAAATGACGTTGTTTTGGCCATGAGGTTTTTTTTTTTAAAGAGAGAAGTGCAACATGCTCGCAGCGCACAACAACAAAGGAAGAGTCAATTCGCTAAGGCCTTTTGTCAAACAAATGGATTGTACCAAAAGAATGAGCACAAGTGCAAATTTCTGGCATCTACAAGGATTTTTCCAGCGAATGAAGGTGCAACTGCACCTCCTTGCGCATCTGTAGGTCCGCCAGATGTGGAACGGTGTTGCTGTTTCTTGTTTTAAGTCTATTACTCATTAAGAGTTTGATGTACTTTTTATTTTAACTCTCAGGAACTCTTTAGGAATATGCCATGTTTTGTATTCTAGTTTTCGTCTACAATACAAATATGCCATTTCTGCCATTGCACGGTGGAGATATATTGTTAGTCTGAGTACGAGTCCTTAGAGATGTTGAATAAGGGGGTTGAGTATTTGTTGGTTTAGGCGTAATTCTCTCTAAGATTAAATCAACTTGTTGTTGTGTTTGTGCATTGGAAATTTTGTACCCATTTTGGCTCTTTTGTGACTTTGTACTATGATATATTTCATCAATAATTACTATCGCTTTTTATCAACAAAAGTGAGTGATTCAAATATGACATTATTCATTTGGTAATGGTATTGGTGGTCCAAGTGGACTAGTCATTAGTCAAAGATTTGTGAAAGATTTTGATGTGGATTAGACGATTTGCTCATGTCTGTATCATGTCTTGTTGCACTAAAATTCGAATATTTCTCTACATAAATTAGAGTAGTTAAGAATAATGTTTTGATAAAGAGGGGATGGGGGCAAGGAGTGGTGGTGAGAGAGAGGACAAGTATGAGGGGAGTTTTAAAATAAATTTTAGTTGAGTGTATTTAAAGAGAGTGGTGATGGTCAAATGAGATTACACAAATTTCAAAAACAAAAAAATAAAAGGGTTTTGTTTTTACTTTTATAGAGGACAAAAAATAGAGGGTTTGTCGAGCGGGATTATCATAGTGGTTGTAGTTCTCCTCTTTCCCTCTTGCTTGGCATCTAGGATTTCTTACCTCCCAATATAATTAAAAAAAAATAGAGGATTTAATTAGAACCATCCTAAATAGGGTCAAAGAATGTAATTGAACAAAAAAATTAATATTTTACTTTTGTGTAAATAACATTTAAATGGGATTATATGATGATCCAAAAAATTATGAAATTGTAATAATAGCCAGTGACCTGGCCTAGGCCACAGTATTCATTCTAGCAATCATGTGCTCTGTTAAACTGGGCCAATCTTGCGTAAAAGAATCACCAAACCTGATCTCTGCCAATCATTTATTGATGTTGAGATCCAGAAAGTTGGTGGGTTAAGTGAAGAAAACTAGTCTCATAAAAATCTGATTAAGCCTAAAGAAAAGTTGGGCCGACTTTTTTGGGCTTGGGCTATGCTGTGTTACTCTCTTTTCTTCCTTTTTTGGTCAAACCTTTTTTTTCTTGGTTAACTTTTCTAGAGCATGTTTTATTTAACTTCTAACTTTTTATACATACCCAAATAGCATGCTATACAATTTTTGGGAGGCAAGAAACACTAGCGAATAGCTATTGTAGGTATCTTCGGAGGTTTCGAACCTGAGACCGTATAAGAGCAACCGTGCCTGATTATTCCAACTAACCCTTTGGTTTTATTTAACTTTAACTTCAAGCAATGACTTTTTTGGATTCACTATCATATCCATATCCATTAGCAAAATCCTCCTCAATCCACCACTCTTGGACTTTTCTTGTGGGAGTGGAATAATTAGATTAAAAATAGACAATTAAATTAATAATAAGACAAATTAGGTGATAATTGTAGCTAGAAAACAAAATTATCTTTATATAATTAATCAGAAAAATAATGATCGAAAAAATAATTGGCCGGAGTTATATTGTTAAGGCTAAACAAGTGCACGCTAATAACATTTTTTTAATTATTTTTTTTCAACAGCACCAAACGGCCAATGAGCAAGACGCACTCCCTCCAAAATTTGGCATTTGCTGCCGTCTGAAACGAATTTTAAACATTAAAATTTGAAAATAAATTGAGAAAAATTTAACTATGTTTTCACTACCTGCTCACTCTCTCTTACTCACTCTCTCTCACTAGAGTCCCGACGATCATTTTCAGATGGCAGCGATCGCATTTGGCTGCTCCAGCTTTGCTTTACTTCGCGCCAAACAAAACGATGCCGCTCCGGAATCGCTTCTGTGCGCGCAGAACTTCAGCTTGTTGCGATTGAAGCAGAGCTTGAGAAGTTGTTCTTCGCCGGCGCGGTGGAGGAGCATCGGGGTCCCACGCGCCTCAGTGGAGGTGGTGGACGATCGACTTATTGAGAGAGAAGAGAAGGAGAGAGTTAGGGTTCTGAGAGTGGGGGTAATTTGTGGAGGTCCCTCGGCGGAGCGTGGAATTTCTCTCAACTCAGCTCGATCAGTTCTTGATCACATTCAGGTAAAGCTTTTCTTCACTATAGAGCGGGAAACACCAAGGGTTGTGAGAGTGTTCACAAGTGCATCAAAGTGTTGAGCAAGGGGTGTGAGAGAAAAGAGAGCTTTGGGAGATAATAGAGTTCTAAGGGGGTTTTTCTGTGTAAAACCAAAGTTGTAACTTATTCTTTCATGAAGTGAATTTCTCAAGGGGATCACCAAGAGGATGTAGGCAATTGCTGAACCTCTATAAATTCTTGTGTCACTTTGTGCTTGGTTGTTGTCTCAAGTGTGTGTGTGTGATTCATCCATCATTGTGTGTGTCACAAAGTCCATCAACAACAAGATCATTAGGGGAGTGAGTGAAAGTGTTTGTCCATTTTCACAACACCTGGCTGCCTCTGTGGACATGGTGTTTCCAGTCATACATGGTAAATTTGGTGAAGATGGTGGCATTCAGGTGTACTATTGCATAACCTTTACTTCCACTGCAAGTTTGCAACACAAACACACACTAATGGATTTATTTTCTATTTCTTCCTTTGGTATGTAATATTTCAACATATGATGTTTCAGGAGTTGCTGGAAAAGTATAACATTCCATTTGTTGGCACGGGATCAAGTGAGTGTTGCCAAGCATTCGATAAGGTACGAGATGATGAATTGGACAATGATTGTTACTACAATATATATAAATGATTTTAATATATATAGAGAAAGAGTTAAAAGGAAAGAAGATGACAATAACTGTTTGTGCTTTTGAATTATGGTGCAGTACAATGCCTCATTGGAGCTCAGCAGACAAGGATTCATAACAGTACCAAGTTGTTTAATACAGGTACTATCTCAACTTAGTTGTCTATATTTATAAAATACACGCTTTTGTCAAAATTTTCTTTATCTACATAATGAGGGATGAGCATCAGTAGGCTGCGTAACTTTTTCCCATGCATGATGGCATCATTAGTTGCACTTTTGAAGTTTGTTTCTGTCACTAATTGTGAGTATTGATATTGGTTCTTGAGGATACAGTAATTTGGATGGTTGTTTACAATTTTGTGAATTTTGGCGTTGATGTATTTGTTCTTTTTAGTTTCTCTGACTCTAATGACTTACAGGGAAGTGAAGCAGATGAATCTGAACTGTCAAAGTGGTTTGCAAGAAATCAACTGGACCCTAAGTCAGGGAAAGTTGTGGTAAGGCACATATTGAGTGCTGTAATGTAATCAAACCCAGAGTGTAATAGTGTTTTATTTGGTCTATTTATGATAATATAACATCTTTATTATCTTGTTCCAGGTAAAACCAACACGAGCAGGATCAAGCATTGGTGTTACGGTTGCATATGGCCTGGCTGATTCCCTTAGCAAGGCTAATGCAATTATTACAGAGGGTTTTCGTATTTCTTTGTTCCCCTTTTTTTTTTTTCTTAAACTCTCACTCTTCTAAATGTTTCATGAAAGTTTCAAGAGAGTTTTAACCATGTGCATGAACTTGGACCATGTTGGTTTGAATATGAATTTAGCTGGAAACAGAAGGTGCAATATCCTGAAATTAATTTTGGAAAAACGCGGCTTCAAATATAGAGTAGAAAGCATTCACTGATAAAATTTGTTCTCTTTTTCATGTTTGATAGGGAATTGATTCCAGAGTCCTAGTTGAAATCTTTCTTGAAGGAGGGAGTGAGTTTACAGCAATTGTTCTTGATGTGGGATCTGGTTTAGATTGCCATCCTGTTGTATTACTACCAAGTGAGGTATAAATGCTCCATTTCTGTGTTTGGTTCATGTCATTGTATTGCAAATAATTAGTTGGAATATAGAGGACATCATTATCACCTTGTAGGTATATTACACGTATAATAGATATTGATTAATATTACTCCTTAAAATGACCAGGTGGAACTTCAATTCCATGGCAGTGTTGATGTTATGGAGAAGGATGCAATTTTCAACTACCGGAGGAAATACCTTCCAACACAGCAGGTAGACTAGTTTTTGACCTTACAGAATCACATACGTCTGTGTTATTTTACGCCCACGTTTTTCTGTCTATTTGAAAGGTTCATAAAATGTTTATTATTTGACTTCTGGTGCGTGCTGTGTAATAAATTTCTCTTGTGTCATCTTTCTGATTTTTAGTCTATGCATGCCAAACAGGTTGCCTATCACACTCCACCTCGTTTTCCTATTGATGTCATTGAAAGTATTCGAGAAGGAGCATCTCGGTTATTCCAAAAGCTTGGCCTCCGTGACTTTGCTCGAATTGATGGATGGTTTCTGCCTCAATCTATTCATGTAACATCATCGTCAGATAGCAAATTTGGAAGGACTGAGATGGGTACAATATTATTTACTGACATTAACCTGGTAAGAAGGCTGTCTAATAGTCTCAATGATATTTATTCTAGGTGTTGATTCTTCTTAGATATTCATACTATCTTTATTTCATTCATCAGATTAGTGGGATGGAGCAGACCAGCTTTTTGTTTCAGCAAGCCTCGAAGGTGCTTCTAATTTTAATTGTGTTTTAATGGAAGTCGTTATAGATTCTATATGGTGTGAATGATTGTTGTTTTTTAGCATCTTAGTATTTTACATTAATCACTACAATAGCAGCTTTTAGCATTGTTGTACGGAAAATCTTAAGCATGCCTTTAAGAATGACTTACAGAGTTCAGGCAGCAAATGACATACAAATCATGAAAAGCTGTTGTGCATGACATCTCCCCTTGCCTGCCATTTCTTTTTTTCCATGCTCTCAGTACTTGTTACATTTTGGTGCCACTAACTTGCTTGAAAACCTGCTTTTCTGATCCAGGTTGGTTTTTCTCATTCAAATATTCTCCGGAGCATAATTCGTCATGCTTGTGTGCGGTATCCGAATCTTGCATCATTTGGCAGTGTATCAGATTATGCGCCTAGAAGATCAAAAACCTCAATGCTTAATGAAGCAGTTCATAATTGCAACGGCACTCGAAAAGTTTTTGTTATTTTTGGAGGAGATTCATCAGAGAGGCAAGTATCTCTTATCAGCGGAACAAATGTTTGGCTCAACTTGCAAGCTTTTGATGATGTAAGTGTCCAATTCATGGGGCATGTGGTTTTTTGAGTGTACAATATGCTTTATGGTTTGGAAGTGTGAAATGTTCAGAATGGGGACATTGGTTAAATTTTCAAGACGCTACATAGAAATTATCAGGGAGACAATCCTATTTTGAAAATTTTCAAGACAATGAATGTATAAGCATATGAGTTAGCTATTTTTATAAGCTTTTGCAGTCGTTTAAAATCTGAACATCTGTTAATGTTTTTCATCTAGAAGAGGAACGTCTCATCAAAGCTTTGATTATGTGTTTGAAGAATTTTAGTGGCTACTTTTCAACTTCTCCTGAGACTATCTTCAGTAGTTGATCAATGATTTAGAATTAATTCACTCTGTAGATAACTATATTGTCGTTAGTATTCTTTATTTGATCAAAGTGCATGATAGTTATGACTTTGTCTGACATTGACAATCTTGTTGGCTACAGCTCGAAGTAATTCCATGTTTGCTTGCCCCCACAACTGGAGATTCATCTAACGAAGTTGATGTGAGTTCCAGAACAGTTTGGTCTTTACCGTAAGTTTCTCTCTCTCTCTCTCTCTCTCTCTCTCTCTGGATGGGTGGGTGCACAAGGTGGGGGACAAGTGAAGATCACTTTTTTTTGTCAGTGTAAGTTATATGTATCATTTTATGTGGGCTTCCACTTCTCTTATTGAAGTTATACTCATTTATTAGAATTACTACCAGAAATGAAAATTGGTGTAGAACATTAGAAGTCTTGTTTGCCCCTCGAAGTGATACTTCAGCAAACCTGTGAACACTTTTGGCAACTTTTATTTTCTTATGATATATATAAGCTAGTTAATTCTCCATCTTCCTTGACATGCATATTATGCTATAGAAGCTCCACTGGAATCCTGTGTTATTAATTGCCGTTTCATATACTATGTACTTAAATACCTTGAAACCAAGATATCTTCCAATGCAGTCCAAAAGAGCATTAAAATGTTTTAGGGTGACAATGAAACTTCAGTGCAGTCCAAGTTCTTAACTAAAGCATATGGGTGTTGTAGACAGGGCCCTCTTCCTCTAAACACTCTTTCTTCATACAATTTAATTAGGTTTCTTCATGAACAGTTATTCTCTTGTGCTAAGACACACCACAGAGGAAGTTCTTGATGCATGCATAGAGGCAATTGAACCTGACCGAGTTGCACTTACATCTCACTTAAGGAACAGAGTTGTTCAAAATCTCATGGAAGGCTTGAAGAAACATTCCTGGTTTACGGGTTTTGATATTACTGATGAACCACCTGTAAAATTAACAGTTGAACAGTGGATCAAGCTAGCCAAGGAAGCTCAGGCTACAGTTTTTCTTGCAGGTTTTCTTTGTCAACCATTATCTGCTGTGATAGATTGTTAATATTTTATTTTCTTCATTATATCAGTACAATATAACATAATTACTAATGTCTGAGAGTGTTGATTTTAAAAAGAATTTCACTTGTATTGGTTGTGGGCAAATATAGTCCAAATGGAGTGTTGATTTTATGAACCATCTTTGCTGAAACAGAAGTTCAAAGAGAGAGAGAGAGAGAGAGATGCAGATGACAATGTGCATGGCTGGGAAGGAATACGTGGACACTTGGTTGACACTAACTTTTTAATTAGTTTAAAATCATAGATTCATAGGGTTCTGATTCCGTTATTTAGGGACTTGGGCAAGAAGAATTTGTAGGTTCTTTAGCTGCTAACAGAATAGTATCAAGTGGTTCTCTCAGCTATTAGTAGTAGACACAGCCTTAACTCCAAAGCCTTGGTGGATATGACTTCTATTTGATTTTACTGGTTTTCATTCTTGTAAGTCACTAGTTTTGTGAACAGAATTGGTAAGAATCAAGAACAACTTATAAGAGTGTGACTAGGCTCCATGCAACTGTGCTTAGAGATCAGAAGATTCAGAAAATAAAAGGTTTAAAGTACTTACGAGGTTTTATCTAATGTTATTCATATTTCATAGTACATGGAGGCATTGGTGAAGATGGCACACTTCAGTCTTTGTTGGAAGCTGAAGGGATTCCACATACAGGTTTTTTCTAATCAATACTCGGTTTAGGAAGACCTTGTTGTCTTGTTTTTGTTGTTGACCTTCTTTCTTATTGGTTAATTGAAGGTCCTGGAGTGATGGCTTCAAAGATTTGTATGGACAAACTTGCAACATCTCTTGCTCTAAATCATGTATGCTAATTAAGTCATAAGTATATATCTAAGAAGATGAATTGGGCTTTGTTGTTATCATTTGTGCTTTATATGACCCACATATTTTGCTAGTTAACAAAGTATTGTGATCTCTTATAATGAACAGCTGTCGGACTTGGGAGTTCTTACTATAAACAAAGATTTGAGGAGAAAGGAGGATCTCCTTAGTACGCCAATAGGAAATGTATGGCATGATTTGATCTCAAAGCTTCAGTGTGAAACAATATGTGTTAAACCAGCAAGAGATGGATGCTCAACTGGGGTCGCAAGGTTGTGGTAGGTTAATCCTTGGGGTACTTTTTTTCTTCTTCATGTTTTGTTCAATGGTAGTGAATAGTTATACTGGGAAGCTCTTATGGCACTTCGTTTGTGCATGCAGCTGCATCGGAGACCTTTCAGTCTATGTAAAAGCATTGGAAGACTGTGTTCTCCGGATTCCTCCTAATAGTTTGTCAAAGGTATGGAATGGTTTAATTGCAGATTTCTCTGTATGGCCTTCATTTATCCATTTTACGGAAAACTTATATACCACCTTTAAGTTTTGATCTTGGTTTTTTATGTAGGCACATGGAACCATTGAGATGCCAAACCCCCCTCCGGAGCTCTTAATCTTTGAACCTTTTATCAATACTGATAATATAATTGTATCTAGAAATGAAAATGGACATCAGATCTTGTGGAGTGGACAGAGTAGATGGGTTGAAATAACTGTTGGCGTTATTGGGAAACAAGGATCAATGCGTTCATTGAGTCCTAGCATCACTGTCCGGGAGAGTGGTGACATTTTATCACTTGAGGAGAAATTTCAAGGTAAGCTTTAGTTAAATGTTTTCTTTGTTAATTTGTTTACAGGTTCGGTTTTTTACTTAAGTTTCCCAATGACATATCATTAATAACAATTCACTTGCATTTGCAGGTGGGACTGGCATCAATCTCACTCCACCTCCATCATCAATTATTAGGTTTGTCAAGATCCTTTATTTTGAGGAAATGATGGATCCGTTTATTAAAGAGTATTGTTTAGTGAGGAATGATTTTGTAATTTTATGGTTTTCCCTTTCTCGTGTTTGACTTCAAAGATATTTTCCTTTTTGCGCTTTTGTATGTTTGAATCATATTGTTCTAATGTCTTTTTCCCCTCCTTAAATCAGCAACGAGGCCTTGCAGAGATGTAAGCAACATATTGAAATAATTGCAAACACTCTTGAATTGGAGGGATTTTCCCGAATTGATGCATTTGTCAATGTGGATAGTGGCGAGGTATGATGTTCATGGACATTCTCCTTTATATCTTTTTTTCTTTGCCTAACTGATTGGAGTTTGGATGACTCTCCAAAAAAAGTGTGGATATATTTTATTAGTGATCTCATTTCACTCTGTTGTCAATTTCATTTTCCAAAGGTCTTGATCATAGAGGTCAATACGGTGCCCGGAATGACGCCTTCCACTGTCCTTATTCATCAGGTATTTCCACTCAAACTTTTTCTATTGGGGGGAGAGAATTACTTCGCATCCAATAATAATTGTTTTGAATTTGCAATTGGAAATTCAACCGGCACATTTTTCTTTTGCATTTTATTAGAAAAAACATGTAATATTGTTCAAATAAAAACTCTTACTGGCAAGCCAAAGAATTTGGTATCTCAAACAAATAAAAACTTTTTTTTTTTTTTTTTTTTTGGTTCAAAAAAT